ACCTGCTCAGCCTCAGCAAGAGGAGGCCGAGGGGGGACCTGGTGGCTGCCTACAAGCTCATCAGGGGGGATCAACAGCAAATAGGCAGAGCTCTTTTCTCCCCAGCACCACCTGGGGTGACGAGGAACAACGGTCATAAGCTGATGGAGAATAGGTTTAGGTTAGAGATCAGAAGGCAATATTTTACAGTTAGGGTGGCCAAAATCTGGAACCAACTTCTCAGGGAGGTGGTCCTCGCCCCTACCTCGGGCATATTCAAGAGGAGGTTGGACGATCACCTGTCTGGGGTCTTGTGAACCCAGCATTGATTCCTGCCTGTGGCAGGGGGGCAAGTTAGATGATCTGTTCAGGTCCCTCCTGACCCTAGCTACTATGAAACTATGAAACTGTGACATTTCTAAGATAAGATGCTCTGTACCAGGGGTCTTGCACTGCATGGCCTCAGATTGGGGGTCAGGCGCACATGGATACCCAGGGACCATGGTAAGTTGGCTGGGCAGGGCTGGGCCTAGGCAGCTGCCGGCTGAAACCTCCTTCCCCACGCACTCCCCAGGGGCCAGTGGGCCACTGGGTACTGGCAGCAGGCAGCCTGCATCCCCCATCCCCTCCCCAAGCTGGACCAGGCCAGGCTTCTGGCAGCACCTGCTGCTACATATCCAGACCCCACTCCCCATCCCCCTCCTCCTCCTGCAAGCTGGCTGCTCTCTTGTGCTGCCACCAAGGCCACAGTGACTAGGATTGTGGGGTGCAGGGTTCCCAGACCACTGCGATGAGGAGCTGCCCATGCCCCAGCCCTCCCTGCAGGGGGCCTCTCTAGGGAGATGCCCCAGGGCCAGCTCTCCCCCTGCACCAGCATTGCGCCCCAAGTATGCTCCTGATGTGCATGTCATGGATGCTGTGCATGGAGCTGTTTGTGTGGACCAAGGGGTGCCTGACCACTATGCCCTGCTACTGCCAATCCTCATGGTGCCCCGGGTGCGCCTGCACACCTAGCATGGGACCCTGAGCTTTGACGACGTGGGGGAGAAGCCCAGGCTTCCCTGCAATCTCCACCACCACCTGGAGGGCTACCTGTGGCTGTGCTACATGTCCCTGCCCCTGCAGCTGAGGAGGACATCAGCACCACTATATGTCCCTGCCCCTGCAGCTGAGGACATCAGCACCGACATCCGCACAATCCTCAGCATGTGAGAGGCCCATGCCTACCTAGCTGTGGGGGCATGGGCTGCTCAAAATAGTTTTACACTGTCTCCTGCCTCCCTGGGTGCTGTGGGAAGGGAAACTGGGGCCAGGGACATGTAGCCAGGCCAGGTGGGAAGGGGGAGCAGGGGCAGGAGCTGGGACGGGAAGGCCCCCAATATGGGCTTTATCCTGGGGCTGGGGCTGGCATGGCCAGTGGCAGGGTTCAAATTATGAGGGAGCTCAGGGAGACTGAGCCCCCCCTTAAGAGATGAGAGCCTCCCCATAAGAGATGAGAACCCCTCTTATGCTGTGCTTTTCTAAGCAGCCCAGGCAATGGTAGTGGCATCACCATCTGGCTGCCAACGCCGCAGACCCCACCAAGAGTCTAAGTGTAATTCAAACCTTGGCCAGCAGCTCTGCTTAGTCCTGGCTGGCAGTGACAGCTTGCGGTTCCAGGCAGTGTCCTCAGATGGTGGGGTGCATCATGTGGGTGCCCGGCCAAGGCCACTTCCCCCCTCGCTGGAGGAGGAACTGGTGCTGCTGCTGGTGCTGTTGGCCAAGCCTCGTGGGCTGTGGCTGGGGCTGGGGCTGGGAAGCTGTCAGGACAGCTGCTGGCCTGGGTTCCTGGGGCTGCTGGTGGAAACTGTGGCTGGGGAGCTTGGTGGGGTGGGCTGCTGGAGGTCCAAGGGGCTCTCTTGCAGTGACACATCACCATGGGTGCCAGACCAGGATGGGGGCTGTGGCCTGGGCCATAAGGACCAGTGCCAGTTGCTGCATAACGGGCATGGACTTGGAGGCACTTACCAACTGATGATTGTGCTCAGTGATGTTGACCCACTGTGCCCACAAGGCCTTGACTTTTATTCAGCACTGCAGTACTGACCAGTTGTGCCCACACTCCCGCATCTTGCCTGACAGCCCCTTGTAACCATGGGTGTTTGAGCACCCAGCCTGAGCAAACTGGTGCTGCACCTCCATCTCACTTTGTTGCACAAACGGCTAGTTTCGTGCCCCTGGAGGCTTTTTCAATATACCTCAAGGACAGTCATACACACTCAGGCCGGGTCCAACTCGAGTTTATTGTTTGCAAACAGGTCAACAAGGGAGTTCAATGCTCAAAGCCGAGTCGAACCCCAGCCACGCCCACAGTTACACTTTTATACCTCTCATGAACAAGATTCCATTGTGGCAATCTGTGATTTGCTACAGTTTTCTGCAAAGTTTATGTGCAAAGCAGGCAGTAACTAATCTGTGTTCCCACAGGAATCAGACTTATTGTGAATTGAGCATTGTTCGGACTGTTCTTTATTATGCTACTGATTATCTAGTGCAGGAAGAAAGAAGAGAAAAAGAAACAATTTGCAGTTCTCAGCTGTGAAGCCTTTTGTGTAGTGAGATTAGACATTTTTGCCACAACTTCACGGTGCCATGAGGTCACCAGTCTCCTCCATGAACCAGCTGGGGTCCTGGTTGGAGAGCATGACCATGGGCGAGGATGACACCATCAGGACTCCTGTGCCAGCTCTCTGGGCCTCCGCTTGGCTGTTCCTGTACTGCCGGGCCTGGGCAGCTGCCTGCAGCACGCAGCGCAGGGGCACGGAGCGGGACTGGGAGCCGCATGGCGAGACAGTGCCCCACAGCACCTGCAGGCTCCAGGCAGGCTGCTGGGGGTAGGTTGCGGGCAGCTGGAGCTAGCCCCAGCAGCCAGGAGCTGCCTGCAGCTGGCCCCAGGTGCTGACAGGTCTGGCAGGAGCCTGCAGCACCCTGCAGACCTGGATGTCACAGGCCTGGCAGCAGCGCGGCACTGCGGTTCTAGGTAGCAGTGCTGCGGTAAAGGCAGGCTAGCACAGCTGGCCTGGAGCCTGCCCAGGGAGACACAGGGGCCTGGAGTGGCCTCAGGCTGCCCACATGTGCCGGGGAGCTCAAAATGCCTACAGTCTTTTAAGGGCCTACGGCCAGCCCCCTAGTGGCAGAAATTTGTTCCTGCTAGGCATCTACAAGTGTGTTACTGCACAGTAACTAATCACGAGTAAATTTGCTACTTGTATTTGCGGGTACCAGATTTACCTGCAAGTAGGGTCATTTACTGTGCAGTAAGCGTGTGCACGTGTAGGCATGCGTGCTTACTGCACAGTAAACTATGCTACTGCGCAGTTAAGCATCTCATGCAGATGCACCCAGTATGTTCTAACTTTAACACTGCCTAACATTCCACTGATTTAGCATGGTCTAAGTGTTACATATAACTTCACCTGAAGGGAGTTTTCCTGATATCTAATATAAATCTAGTTTGCAGCAATTTAAAGTCACTGCTTTGTGTCCTGCTGTCTGCAGTGAGGGAGAACATTTGTTCTCCCTCTTCTTTGTGGCAGCTCTTCAAATACTTCTTCCCTAATTACCTGTTCTGCAAGCTAAACATGCCTAGTTCTTTCCAATCTTTTCTCCTACTGCTTGCCTTCCAACACTTTATCATTTTTCTTGCCTTCCTCTGGACCCTTTCTAATTTCTCCATATCTTTCTTAAAATGTGGAGCCCAGAACTGCACACAATACTTTAAATGAGGCTTACCCAGTGCCAAGTAGAGTGTACTATCATCTCCTGTGTCTTGCACCTAATACTCCTGTTGATACTGCCCAATATATTACATTTGCTTTTTCTACAACTGCATCACACTGCTGAGCTATGGTGAGTCTGTGATCTACCAAAACCCCAAGATCTTTCTCACCAGTGTTGCCATCAAGCCATTTAATTCCTGTTCTGTATTTGTTTTTGATTACTCTTCCTAAAGTGTAACATGCTGTATTGTCTGTATTGAATTTGAAACCCAGCTTTCCAACCTTTCAAAATCTTTTTGAATCCTACTCCTGTCCTCCAATGTGTTTACAGTCCTTCTTGGTTTTGTGTCTTCTGCAGATTTGTTTGGGAAGCTTTTTGCTCCCGCATCCAAATCATTAATAAACACATTGACGTCTGCTCCAGCATCCAAATCATTAATAAACACATTGAATAGTACCAGGCCCAGAACAGACCCCTGTGGAACCCAACTTGAAATCTCCTCCCATCCTGACATTGAGCTTTTTATAAATATCCTTTGCTTGCAGTAATTGAGCAAAGAATTACCAACCTTGGAAGGGCCTGAGGAAGGGTACTGTGATACCTGAAATCTTCCCTATGTCTATACCAACCATACAGTCAGTCCAATAAAAGATATTGCACACAAGAATTTTTGCCTCTCATGTACCCACCTTATAGTAATTTTATCCAGTCCAATTTGCTTATAAGAAGGTCATGTGGGGCTTTGTCAAAAGTCTTATAGAAATTCAAGTACACTTTATTCCCTTCATCCACTCAACTAGCTACTTTGCCTAAGAAGCAGATCAAGTTAGTCTGGCATGATTTGTTCTTAAGAAATCCATGCTGACGATTTGTGATCACCCTTTCAATCTCCACATATTTGCAAATGGACTTCTTTATAATTTGCTCCAATAACTTCCTAGGCTTTGAAGTGAGGCTAACTAGTTTATAATTACCTGGGCCCTCTTTTTTGCCTTTTTTAGAGGGGCACCATGTTGGCCTTTTTCCAGTCCACTGGACCTTGCTCATCTCCCAAAACTTCATAAATATTATTTCCAATAGTTCTGAGACCCCTTCTTATAGTTCATTCAGTACCCTGGGATGAAGTTCATCAGGGCTGGCTGACTAATGGTCTCTTTCATTCTCATGACCCTCAGCCTTCTCCCTTACTGTCTATGTACTTTTTGCTTGCCATCTGGTTGCAATTTTTTTTTGGTGAAAACTGAGGCAAAGTAGCTGTTCAGCAGCTCCACCTTATTCAAATCTTCTGTTAAGAGCTCACCCTTGGTTCTGTTAAGAGCTAACTCTTGCCCACCACAGCTTCCTTGCTCTTTCTTTTCTGACCAACATATTTTATTTAAGTGCTGCCTACTTCACTGCATGCGACTTCGGTTGCAATTTAGTCTCTTGAGAGGTAAAGTCCTTATTCAGGAGCTAAGCCAGGAGGTATCTCTCTGAAGGAACTGTGTATAACTAAGTGAGATAGTGACCAAAACATTAGGTCTTGGAGTCCAAGGAACCAGGGACTTTAGAAACTACTCCTGGGACAGCTTCAGAGGGTACTCCAAGGGACTGTGTAGGGCTGGGGGTCTCAAATAAGTACGCACCTTTCCTAGACAAAGAAACATGGAAACAAAGAGACTGACTGTGCAGTTCCACATACTTCCTCTTTACTGGAGAAGGCTCCCAGAAGGCTACATCTGTGCTGACCAGTTGGTGCCACCTGAGGCCATGGGACAACATTTCTGTCCAGAGGGGCCTGCTGCTTGGGACTGGCAGGACTGTACTGCAGACTGGTTTTGAACAGGGAGGTGGGGGAAGGCTCCATCTATGAGGGGACAGGAGGGGAGGGTCTGTGTAGAGGGTCCTGTTTCTTAGTGTGGCAGTGCAGTAGATCTATCCCTCTTCCTGCAATGAGGCAGTACAAGTGGACCTCTCCCTCTCAGTAGGGGAAGGACAGAGTAGGGAGGATCCTTCCCCCTTGGTGGGGAGGGGTAAGAGTCTTTACCTTTTGATGGGGTTGGGGCAGGGCAGGGGATTTCAGGTGTTGGCCATGCCTTCAGGATGGTGCTGTTGGACACAGATTCTGAGGGCATGGTGGTGTTGGGGGCACAAGACTACGGATACTCCCCACCAGCTGCTGCATCCACCCTGCCAGCTCAGCCAGACCCCCTGCGATGGCACCCAGATGGTGTCGCCCCTGCTGGTGGCCCTGTGCGAGGGCACGCAGCTCCCAGCGCAGCTCTCGCACCTCCTGAATCAGCTCCTGCAACTGTGGAGACTCACAGGTCCTCACTGTCCCAGCCTGGGAGCACCCCAGCCACTCACTGCCCTCAGTCTCCCCTGGCCTCTGGCCTGGCATCGTAGGTGCTTCCTCAGGTTCAGCCATACCAGGGCCACTTATCTTCTGCCCAGAAGTTGATCTATCCAGTTTGGGCTCCTCCGTCTGACTTGGGACAGGGGTAGGATCTGTGGGATGAGAAATAAGGTTGGAGGGGAGCCTGTCAACTGTGTTCAAGATTGTCCACTTCTACTCCTCATAGAGCCCTAGGAGCTGGAACTGTCCCCCCTGTTTGCTCTACCACCAGGACCAACCCCCACCCCTCCCACTAGGGGCAACAGAGCCCCAGAGAGACAGCACAGCCCAAGCAACCATGACTCCTGGGGGCCCCACCTGACCCTGGGTGGGGATTGGATTCTAACGCTTGCAGCAGGGATTGGGATTCGAGCCAGGACTTCTGGGTTTCCTCCTGGGCACCAGGAAAGAAGTGGGGTATAGGGGCCCTGGGTTTTCTCCCATGTTCAGTTAGACTCCCAAATCTCTCTCTACTTTGTACTTCAGTTTCCCTATCAGGATGACACTCTCCCCTATAGACAGTGCTGCTTCAGTCAAAAGGTAACATAAATAACAAGGGTTCTCTGCAGATCCAGAGGCCAGGATCCACCCACCTGCTCCAGTAGGGATAGAAAAGCCTCTGTACCATGCCACACCTCCACCCCTTCCTCCAACACCATGAGGCACTGTTTCTTCTAGCAAGGTGCTGACAGTGCTGCCCCTACTCACCCTGCCCCAGCCTAATGGTACCCTCCCAAGTGCCCCTGGTAGCAATACCCCAAGGGCCAGATTAATGCATAGGTGAACTAGGCACATGCTTATGGCCCTGAGCTGTGAGGGCTCCCAGTCCTTCCCTCCATGGCTGCGGCACAAATGCCTCCACCTACCTCCCTTCCCTTCCCTTCACCTCTGCGGGCCTCATTGCTGCAGCGGCTGCTTCCTAGGGGTGGTTCCAAGCTCCTCTCCCCATGGGTGGCAGTGCTGGGGTGGGGAGTGGGGTCTCAACTGCCGGGACCCAGGAGTTTGTTTGCCTAGGGCCCACTAAAGTGTAATCTGGCCCTGAATACACCCCAGACCTTTGCCCATACCTGGCTTTGTGTGCAGAGGCTCTGGAAGTAGATATGTTGTGTACATCTCAGCAGTGCTTGTTTGGGCATCAGCTGGGCTGGCAGCATCTAAATGGATGGTGTGGATCTGGTTGGGGAGCTGGGTGTGAGGGAGGGCTTGGCCTGTCTGGGCACCGGGAGCCTGTCTGAGGGACTGGCTGACAGCTGAGGCTGGGCCTGGCTGGGTGCCATGGGTGGAGGTCGGGGGCTGTGCAGGGGTGGGGGCTGGGCCTGGCTGGGTGCCTTGGGTGTGGATGGGGGGTTGGCTGGAGGCTGGACCAGGTTGGGTGGCATGAATCTGGCTAAGGCTGGGAGCTGGGTCTGACCCGGTGCAATGGGTCTGACTGTGGTTGGGTGCCAGGTCTGTCTCAGTGTGCTGGATCTTGTTGCGATGTTGCATGGGAAGCAGGTCTGTCTGTGTGCTGTATATCTTGCTGGGGGCTGGGGTAGGGCCAGAGGTTGGGTCTATCTGTGTGGTATGGGTCTCACTTGGGGACTGGGCATGAGTGGGGGCTGAGTCTGTCCAGGCACCATGGGTCTCACTGGAGGGCCTGGGACTGAAAGAGGCCAGAACAGTCTGGTAGTGGTAGGTGTCACCCACAGGCTGCACAGAGGGAGTGTAAGGGGCTCTGGACTTTAGGCCCATCCAGGTGCTGTGAGTCTTCTTGGGAACCTGGGAGGTGAGAGACTCTGGGTCCATCTGAGCCCTATGGGTCTGGCGAGAAGGATGGACTAGGGAGGCTGCAGTCCTCAAGGCACGGCCACCAGGTTCAGAGTGTGTCCAGGGTGTGGGGTCGGCAGCAGGAGTGTGCTGTAGAATGGTGTCTGTGAAAAGAGGACAGGCAGAAAGATGGACACAGCTTTCCAGAGCTCTGTGTGGACAGCTGAGCCTTAGCACTGGCTGATCTAGGCACTGCCATTCCTGGTTTCACAATGACTCTGGCCAGTGCAGTCAGGCATGGCCAGCCCCTCACCACCCTGTGGATGCCAGGGGGCACTATGTTTGGCCAGGAGTGCACACCTTGCACCACTGCCCAGGAACCTTCCCCAGGCTCCAGTTCTGTATGTCACACCTTAAGCTGGCAGCAGGGCTGACTCTGGCTGTGAAGGGACAGGACCTCTGAGAAGCCTTCAGCCCAGCTCTCTGTAGCACAGTACCCACTAGTGCCAGGTGGCAACACCCCCTACTTAGCTCCCTACACCACTCCCTACAGTGTAGGCTCCTAGCAACATGCTGGGGAACGGAGGTCAACACTGAGATGCTCCCACCCAACTCCCCAGAATAAGACCCTGACCATATCCACTGTGCAGTGACCCTCATACCTGCTTGTCTCTCTGAGGATGGCTCAGGATACGGCTGCTGGGTCAGCAGAATGGAGGCTGGTATACCTGAGACTCTGTGCTGCATGGGACCAGGGCTGACCCTATGGCCCATCCCCGTGAGGTCATCCTGTGTCACAGTCTGCCCTGTGGAGACATAGAGGTGCACAGACATGGAGGACAGCTCTTTATGTAAGGGGAGATGGGGAAATGAAGGCTGAGACTCTGGCTCTGGGGAAGAGTGGGAAAACAAATCCCTTCAACAGGGCAGGAGTCCCCGGGGACTATGGGGCCTTTTTCCTGGGCCTGCTCTGCTCCTGCATCCAAGCAGAGTACCACTGGGTAGTAGCTGCTGGCTCTCTGGCTGCCTTTGAGAGTCGATGGGCGCTGGCTGGGGTGCTCTGCTGTGTCCCCCGAGGATGCACTAATTGTAACCTTCTGACCCCGCTGACACTCCCTTTTTTGTTATTTTTTGTCCCCCAGAATCAGTTGAAGGCTTGGATCCCACCTCTGCCCAACAGTGGCAGTCCACAGTAAATTAGTGGGCTAAAAGCCCATGGCCCAAGTTATCAAATAGGTCAACAGGGCAGGAATGAGGTGGCTCCCCTGCTCATAGGCAACTGGTAGGGGTGCACGTGCCCCCCCTGACAGCCGACACTGACGCTGTCAGTAGGGCTGGTGCTCCCCCTGACAAGGCTGCCACTGTTGGTGGCTTCTGCCGGTACCCCCCCCCCAGATTAAGGAGGCACCAGTCACTCGTGTCCCTGCTGTAACGTCTACAGACACTGGGTGGCACTGTAAGACAGCGCAGTAAGGCATGACTGAGACAGAGCTGTAGGAACTGGTCAACAGGGACTCCCCCCACCAGTTGCTAACAGCATGGGGCCTATGACACATGGATTCCCCTTGTTCAAAGGTTGTGTTCCACATGGATCAGCACAGTAACTCCAGCTCAGTTGCTAAGAGCGCAAGCTGCTCAGTGTAGCACACACTACCCAACCAGGTACTCCCCAGGAAGCTAACCCTGCCCAACCCAGCTCTGTAGGGGTGTGGAAGAGGGGCTGGCTGATCAGGGGATGGGTACAGACAGAAGAGGGGATGGGTATGACCTCTTGCCCAGCCTGAAGTTATGAGGTTCCTAGAGGATGGGGCTAGGGTGCAGGTCTCTGGTTGGTCACATGGACAGTGACACTACCTGCTCTGGGTGCTGGTCTCCCTGCATGGGCTGGCCAGGCAGGGTGCATCTATGGGGAGGGACTTGGGAGGTAAGGAGGTGGCAGAGTATTGCAGGGGCAACTTGGGGGTCTAGTCTAAGCTGCCGTTTACCAGTCCTACCTGTGGGCTCTGCAGCATGTGGTTCTGGTTCTGCTGAGGCCTGGGGTCTCTTTGTGGTACCCGTTTCATCCAGTTCTCTGGAGGGCTGGGGGCTCCACCTGGTACCAGCTAGAGTGATTTCCCCTAAGGGTGTGGCACCTGCCAGATCTGAATCTTGCAAGGTGTGGAGGCTCCTTGTAGTACTGGCCAGGTCCAGTTCTCTTGAGGACCAGATACTCCTCATGGTATCCGCTTCCTCTGGTTCTCCTGAGGACCAGGGTCTCTGTGAAGAACCTTTTGGGTCTAGTTCTCTCATGGTCTGGGGGCTCCACGTGGTACTGGCCTGGTCTGGCTCTCTCAAGGTCCAGAGACTCCATTTGGTACCAGCCAGGTCTGGTTCTTTTGAGGGACGGAGCCGCTGCGTGATAACAGCCAGTTGCACTTCTCTTGATGTTTTGGTACTTGGCGTGGTATCAGCTGGGTCTGGTTCTTTTGATGTCCATGCACGGTGTGTGGTACCAGCCAGGCCCCGTTCTCTTGATGTCTGGATGTTCTGCGTCGTACCAGCTAGGTCTGGTTCTCTCAAAGTCTGGGTGCTCTGTGTGGTGACAGCCAGGCCCAGTTTTCTCAGTGTCTGGGTGGTACTCCACATAGTAACAGCTGGGTCTGGTTCTTTTGATGTCTGGATATCTGATCCACTGTCCATGTGACCAGATCTAGAGAGGTCCAGGTCTCTTGAAGACTGAGTGCTCTGTGTGGGACCAGCTAGGTCCAGTTCTCTTGATGTCTGGGTGCTCCAGGTGGTACTAGTTGAGCCCTGATCTTTCAATCTCTGGGTGCTCTGTGTTGTACCAGCCAGGCCCGTTTCTCTCAATGTCTGTGTGCTCTGCGTGGTTTCATGTGGGTCTGGTTTTCTTGAAGGACGGAGTCTCTGCATGGTACCAGCCAGATCCGGTTTTCTCAGTGTCCGAGTGTTTTGTGTGGTACCCACCAGGTCTGGTTTTATCAAGGGCCAGGGTCGCTGCATGGTACCAGTCAGGTCCCTGGCATCTTGGGTGCGGGTTGGCTCTAGCAACAACAGGTTCCCCTTTCCTAGAATACACAGCAGCCTGCTCAGCAAGTAACTGCAGCTCTGCCTGCCCAGCAAGGTCCAGGGTGGCCCCTGATGGAACCAGAGTCAAGGCATCCCCAGCAGCAGCAAACACTCATACCCATGGGCAACTGGTATCACCTGAGTCGGGGAGGGGGGG